TTGCTTTTTCTACAACTCCTACTTCTCTTTTTCCTTTGCATTCATGCTTAGTGAGTTCACCCATGTTGTTCTGAGGCTTGTTTTTCTTCTTTAAATTAACAACCTTACAATTGTCCCTAGGGAACTGCATGCTGTTTCTTGCTAACTTGAATCTCTACTACATCAAAATCTATTAAAGTGATTTACTCCTGCAGCATAACAATTTTATAGTAACAGAAATAAAACATTTCTGACCAGCAACACTTAATTTAAATGTAAGTGTGTTTGCCTATAAGAAATATTTTTAAATATACAATGGTACACACATTGGAAACATTACTGCTTTTATGTAATTCAGTTTATACAATAAACATTTTTAAATAGCTACCAGGATTGAGGCACTGTTATGTTTTTAAGGTATAATAATATGAGCTGCATTACCATCTACCTTTGAATGTATCTTAAATCCCTTTGGAGATTGTGAGCATGCCTTATCACAGCCTATAAATATATGCAAATGGAGGTAATAGAAATGATAGCTAACATTCTGCTTTCAAGAATAATGTCATCCCAGCCCAGTGATTTCTGGTCAGATATGGTGAAAGTGAAAAATAATAAATAATATGCCTGATTGTTATATATCAATACTGTATCTTAAGAGCAAGAACCTATCTATTTTGACTAAAAAGACCTTCTTACCAAAATTTCAGATGATGAATTTTAGTCAGACAGCCTAAACAAGTTGTCACTGAACAAGTCATAAAGAAAACACTACAATGAAAGTAGCAGAATTAAAACACAAATGATGGGAGTTCTAAGGAAGCTCTTCTCTACAAAGTAGCAAAGTAGAGTTAAACATCAATATTGTTTAAATGGTAAATACCATCAGGTGTAGCCTCCGAGTCCTCCAGCTCTCAGCTAATTACACAGATCTGATATGTAAAAAACTAGTGGCTACATGGGACCCAGAGGACGCATCCTCCCTGACCTCAATGTCTGTGACAGAGTGTGTAGGAGTCCATCTCCAAGGGGCCAATCTCAATGAAAAGCTAGGATAGGCCTGATCTGGACTGGGACTAATGAATAAAAGTATCACAATAGAAACTCTTCAACCCTGGCCATTCTTTTAAGAACTGCATAAAAGGAGTGATTAGATCATTTACAAGGGTCAGTTTTAGGTAAGACATGCTACTGCTGTCTGCTTACCTTATTTATTTTGTGTGTGAGCTTAAGGGTTAATGGACATCATTACAAATGTAAGAGAGCTAGTTCAGCCTTTGCCACACTCAAAAAATATGAGTTCATCTCCTCTCTTTGCTTTCCTTGCTGATCTTGTTACAGTATAAGAAAATTCACCTTTGGCAAGAATAGTGGCACATTTTCCTAAGATTTACACATTATTCAGGAGCCTCTCACTTCATGGAAAGACACATTAAAATTACATACCTTTTAACAATAACTTTCCAATATAGTAATTTTTCTAAGAACAGGCTTGGGATTTTTAGTAGAAACACCAGGAAGCTAGAGGCTGCTACACAATGTTTAAGCCCCCAATTTTAGGAGGCAGATGTACAAAAGTAACTGACCTATAAGTAGATCACAGTCAGGAAGACCTCCAATACATTACCTTAAGCTGAAGATTTTTACTGATGTTAAAAAACAATAGTAACAAGATTTCCTGTGCAGCTCTCAAGAATTACACACACCTCACCCTATGTGTATGGAGGGGGTGATACTCAACTGGCACACCTTGGTAGAGCCATACCCATTTTTAAATACTGAAATTCTTCCATTTTATACAGTGAGTAGGTGCAGGTTAAGCCCCCTAGTTCCTCCTTGGCACTCTGGCTATTCCAACATGAGAGAGCCTCCAGAGGTCATGGCCTACTGCTGGGTTTGGGGCTTGGGGACTGTATCCCAGCAGAAGAAATGGCCACCTGGTAACATGACCAGCCAACGACTTATCCAGTCTTGGACCCCAAGGCTCCTTTGCTCTTTGCTCTTCCACAAAGTTGCACTTATGGGAGCTGCAGTGTACTGAATTTAGTTGTCAAATGCAGGATCTGATGTACATGGACCTGTTATTTCTGGTTTGCTCTTTTACACAACCCCCACTTACCAGTCTCTTTTCTATTCAGCTCCTGCTTCATACACATGTTGCCCTGTAAGGCCTCCAACGAATGACTATAACCCTCTGGACAAATTATATGCAATCAAGATGTGGCATGCTCATTTCCAAAACGCCTAGAGAATCTCCATATTGTGCTCTGAAATGGCCTAAGTGCCTTCTTTTACTGTTCTAAATATAAAATTCTATGTAATCAAACCATTTATGCTCTTTCACCTTTACCAGTAGATCTCTAGTTCTCCATCTTTGCTATCTCTACCCAAAAGCAAACAGAACAAATGCCTGCTTTTTTCAAGTTATGAAATATCATTAAGAAAAAGTGATATCTGGTGTCCATAAAAAGATGAATGGATAAGGACGATGTGGTACATATACACAATGGAACATTATTCAACCATAAAAAGAAAAAGAAATCCTAACATTTGCAACAACATGGATGGAGCTAGAGGGTATTATGCTCAGTGAAACAAGCCAGGCGGAGAAAGACAAATACCATATGATTTCACTTTTTTGTGAAATATGAAAACAAAGCAAAACAGAGGAACAAAAAAAGCATTAGACTAATAGACACTGAGAAGTGACTAGTGGTTTCCAAGGGTGAGGGAAGTGGGTGAGGGGAGGGAAAGGGGGAGAGGGACTTGAATCACTGTGATGTACATTTGATAAAACAAATAATAATAATAATAATAATAAAGCAATGCTTGGGTTTGAAACTTCAATACATGACTGCCTGCCTCAGTTTCAAAGAGCACAGGAAAATATGAACCTAGCTTTTCATCTGGAGAAACCTGCCAGGTAAGGGGAAAGCAAAGGAGTTCCTAATGTTGACGTAAAAGCTCAGAGGACACAATTTCAGACCCAATCACTCATCTAACAAGCTGTCAACGTGACTGGTTCTAGGAAAACTGCTGAAGAAGAAAACTGTTTCTTTGTTTGGAATCGCCTCCCCTCTGTGTATCCTGACCCTAATTTCCTCATAGTGTCAACCCAGTTTTTCCATTCTGGTATCACAAATCTTCCACAACAGGTGCTCAGGAGGTAGGTAGACTTGCCCTGGACTGACTCTCAGCTCCGACACTAACTGGGGTGCTCTGGCAAGTTACTTAACCAGGCTCACATTCAGCTTCTTCATCTGATGATGAGCATACCAAAAGTTCCTCTGTGGCAGGATAATAGATCCGCGAATTAATCTGTAAATTTCTGCCTGTCTCCCTGTGCTCACCAAATTCTTTCAATTGAACACCAGAGACTTCTACCATTCCCTTGGCCTATTCAGATGGCACTGAGTCATCCACAGCATAAACAAGAAGAAGAAGAAAAAAGCATGAGGAGTGTGGGGCAGAGAGATTATAGATTCTGCTATATATTTTCAGAGGGAATTTACTTACTTGGGGGAACAAGATAAACAGCACACTGAGAAAGAAACTGAGGCACCAGAGAGGTCCCACATAGACTGGAAAGGGAGGAATGGAAGAACCATAAAAATCACCAACTGGAGTATGAGGTAGCTAAATGGAATGTGGCTAAGCACCAAGCTGTGCTTTTGGTTGCCATTTAGGGAAAATACAAAATGTTGGCCTATCTCCCACTTTGGAATGACACTTATATGTGCCCCCACAAACTTCAAGAAAACAGAGACCCAAAAATGTGTGTCATATAGTAGTACACAAACTGTTTCATGGTTCTGAACACTCCTACAAGCCCCAGAAGAAAAAGGTTTGTTTACTTTGTGGGTGTTGGTGACATAAAGAAAGGGAAAGCTACTTCCAGTGTTCCTCCTATAGGGTGAATGAACATTGAGTGAAATCATACTCTTCAACTAGTCTGGCATGGTGGTAATGTTACCTGTTTTTAATCTTAATTAGTCCACTTACCAGTTCAAAGACCATATGCATGATACTCTGTTAAGCATGGCTTCCTCTTCTGTGAAATGGGCTATGCTCTTATGAGCATATCAAGGATTCTAAATAAGTGTGTGTATGTGCCTGTTCTTTCCTCTTTTGTATTATGAACATCAGTGCAGCTCACCAGACAGATTCACCAGTCGGCAGCAAAGATAGGGACCCAGGGAACAATGAATGGTCTATGCCTTCCCTCTCCCCATCCCTGAAGCTCATGCAAACTGTCTCACAGCCAGATGTCATACTGGCAAAGAGGGGAGAGAGAGCTTATCCAAAAGCTCCAAGTTATCTAAAAAGATACAGTTTAAACTAGACTGTTTCAGGTAAGAACAGGGGGATAGATATTAACAGGGAAGTTAAGCATTTAATCTTATACATCTCTCAACCCATAGAATTATGAATATATAAAAGATGTTATGTTAGATGCTTTTCATATTTCTTCCAAAGTATCAAGATGTTATAAAAGAACCCCTAATATTTAGGATTTAAAATCACTTCCTACTCAAATTACTAAAAGGGTTTCCACTGGTGGAAATTTAGGCACCAAAAGCAACAGCAAGGAAATTGTTGAGCTGGAACTTTGTAGAGTCTTGGTTCTCAAAGTGTGGTCTGCAGACCAACATCACCAATGACAGCTGAGAGCTTATTGGAAACAGACACACTGGTCCTGTGTAGCCTATCTGAATTAGAACCTGCTCTCTAACACAGTTCTTAAGTGATCTGCATGCACATTATAATTCAGAAGCAATGCCTAAAGATTAGGATCCCTCTCTAACCATACCAAGCATGAGACTACCCTCCTCACTTATTAAAAACACCAGTCAAGGGGGACCACCATAACATCCAACTTCCAAGATGTTCAGTGGTTAAAACTAAAACATTCAGAAATGTTTAACATAAGTTAAACAAAATACTCAGAAAGTGCTATTCTCGTATCTATTATTGGCAAAAGTCTCAAACATTTGCTGAGAAAAATATGAGCAGATGCTTACTGTTCCATCACAGTGGCCATCCTTAATCCTCAGATACATCTGTGATCTTTGCACACTTTCAAACATGCAAATCCCAGAGCTGATTTTATGCACTTTCCAGTAGGATTTTTCAGACTGGTTTCCCATTCCAGTGCAGCTCCCATCAGCCTGGAGACACAAGGCCTGACAAGGGCTTGTAGCAAGTAGGAGGACAGTAGTGTCAAGGAACACACCCTTCAGAGCAACAACAAAACAGAAAGGCAGTAAATAACAAGTTCATGTTTTGCTAGAATAAGTTAGCAGTGGAGTCCATTCTCTTACAGAAGTTGCAGTGATCAGAATCTTACCAGAAGCTTCTGGTACAAATGTACAAATGTTAAAAATGTACAAAATAAGGAAATAAGTAATTTAACTGCTATGCAAAGTTAAGTAAAGCTAAAAGAGGCACTATGGTTGACTCATAATTTATGTCAATCATTAGCTATTGAAAGTATAAAGGTCAGCATCAGATGGTACAGAAATTTAAAAATGATACAAAACACAAACATTTCTCTTAAGAAATTGGTAAGGAATATAAACAATTTTAATATTAACACAAAGTAGAATAAAATCAGTGTGCTATGAGGGTACTTGAATTATAGAATGCACTCTGGATACTAGTTAAATGTACACATGTAGGATTGAATGAATGAATGAAAAGAGATATTGAACACAAGTAAGATATAAGTAAATCCTATGTAACCAATAACTTAAGATGTAAAAAGTTATTGAAAGTCAATTAGAAATACGTTAACACTGTACAGAAATGGATAAAAAACATAAATACACAAGTCACCAAAGGCAAAATACAAATGGTGAATAAACATAAGGAAAGGCAATCCATACTAGTAAAAAAATAAATAAGGCTTAATTAGATGTTTATTCCTCTAGAAAACTGTCTAAAAAAGAGTTCTTTTCAAGGACCATCCTCAATACTGACGTCAACAGAAAGAACACTCCTCCAGTGATTGCCTAACAGAGTTGGATATTAAAGAATATACCTTTACCCAAGAGGTCTGGCCTTCGCCTTCACCTTCTGAGAGGTAATCTCTAAATCCTTGGAATAAATGTTATTCCAACATAGGTATGTTTTTGTTTGCCAGAGCGCCTTCAGCCAGCCAGAGAATAAAAATGTGATTTAGGGTGGGAGATTTGAGTCACAAGAAGTCAATTGACCTTAAAAGCTGGAGACTGAGACTGGTTACCTATACTCCCTACTTGATTACACTCCCATTAAGACTCTGGGCACCAAGGCTCAGGTGAGCTTCCCTGGTTGGCAATATTCCAGCATACTATCACACATAAATGATGAGAAAGTAATGCTGTCCTGACTCTACGGGAAGAGGACAACTAGAAGTTTCACCCTTTGGTACTTTTCCTGTGTGTCTCTATCCTTTATCTGTAATAAACTATAGCCATAACAGCTTTCAGGAATTCTGAATTGTTCTAGTGAATTATCAAACCTTGATAGTGGTCTCTAGAACCCCAGAACTATGAAGTTTTTATCAGAGGTGATGGTGGTAGTGTGAATGTTCACTCTAATTTCACAGTTGGCTTAATCTCCACAGGATCAAAAATTACTACATTTCTGGAAAGAAATTTGTCAGTGTGTTTTCAGAGTCTTAAAGGTTTCACATTTTGATTGTTAAGTTCAATTTAAAACTATCTAAACTAAGAAAATAATAAAGTATGTGATCAAAGACATATATCAAAGTATATTTTGCAGTAATATATGTAGAGATGTAAAATAAAGAGATTAATATTAATCTTAAATGTCTGGTGATAAACACATATATAAACATAACATTTATATATATAAAATAAACATAACATATATATAAATGATATATACATGAAACATACATATGTATATATCCTTTATGTTTGAATATTATTCAACCATTAAAAATCATGTTGTTTTAGGAAAATTAATAATGTGATGAAGTATTTATTATATAATAAGTATAAAAAGCTTTGAAGACAAATTGACTTTGATTTGAATCATGACCCACCATTTACTTGCTATGCTGTACTAGTCAAGATTCTTAACTTCTCTGAAAATATTTTCTTCATGTTTAAAATACAAAAAAAAATACAAAATCAAAGAAATATAAACAACAGTACATTCCATATTTTTATGATGATTAAATTCAGTCTTGTATGTGGTGAAACTCTCAGAGGTACTTGCACAAACAGGCAATCTCATAAATGACAGCTATTTGTATGATGATAATGTTTATTTTTAAGACAAATCCACAAACACATACTATTACGAAAGAAGCATAGCAATATGAAATGACCACACATATACAATACTCAAGGGGTGTACAGATAAATGTTTAAAAAGTTAAATATATGCATTTGACTCCCAAACATAAGCGTCTCTAACTTTTTATTAAGAAGCCTCACATTCAACCTAACCTTATTTGGATATTGGATGTTACCCCCATCAGTTTCATTGCTGCTGGGATCTCTAAGGCCTTTCAAAGTCTGGGTAAATAGAATGGCAATGGGCATCAATGCCACCTAGTGGGAAGATGTCTGATTACTCCATTATAATTAAATTCAATAATTTTCTTCAGTAGAGCAAAAGAAAGCAGATATTTAGCAGTATAAATGATAGTGACTTTCCTCCATTTTACCTTGACAAAAACCACAAATTCTTTTGAAAGGTCTGCATAGCCTGCTGATGACTCATCAGCTATTTTGCCATGACAGTCAAAAATAACTGCATGACCAGGAAACAGCGTTGACTCAAGAAGTGCACAGTGGTTGGGCTGATAAAGCACCCGCAGCTCAGTGGAGGCTCCACCACAGGCCTAAAAGAGAAGGGGCCAGGGAGACAAAACTCTTAATTAGCAATATAAACTAATTCAATTTAAAATATTTTGATATTATTTATACATACAGATCTACTCCACTCCACAGAATCCTCATACTATCTACCTCACGCTTTTGTCATTTAACTGTTTGATTCCCCAGCATGATTTCAGTGTCTTTCTTAAAGGCTTTCTTCTCTTGATTTCTCAGAACCCAGGTTGAGCGTTGGGTAACAATTAAAAGAACTCCAGGGACAGAATAATTTGATGTGATGTTAGCATATATTTGATCACATTTTCATTTCTTCATTTGTGTCCTCCTAACTCAAGTTTATTTAGGACTAAAAGCTGAAATTAAAAGACATGAATTACTATATTTTGCTTTTAGAAAACTAAATAAATCAAGATGGTTATGCTACAGGGAGACATTCCTGGTTCAGGGTACTGTTTGAGGTTTTATCCTGTCTCCCCTGAGTGCCCCAGAAAGTCATTTGGGTCTAAAAAACAAGGATTCAATGGTACCCTTTGAATGGCTTGATCCATGATACCCACAATAAGGTTACTGACCTCAGAAAAGTCCCCTTGAATAAGTAGGCAAGGATACTACTTGCCTTCAAGACAAAGCTATTTGCCTTCAAGAAACCATCTGATGTTGGGTGAATAAATAAGGAGTTACCAGTATGGACTGAAGCTAAGAGGATTGTCACCAGATATTCCAGATATTCTGAGACCCCATAACAGGTGAAATCTTTAGTGGAACAAGATGAGTCTCACAAAAACTAAGATGGAATCTCTCACCAACCTAGTAGGATAGGGCTTGGAGATATATTTAATTTGGTATTTTAAAAATAAAGTAATGGTACATTTCTTGAAGTTTATTTTGAGAATATTTCATCCCTACTACATTCATACTTATTAAGTACTCACTACAACCAGTACCTGTACTGAGCAGAATGTGCTACATAATACAGCACAGGGTGCCTTACTAAGTCTAGAGCAGGAAGAGAGAGGACTTCACAGAGGAAATTTGACTGACTAATCACTCAGCCTGAATTTCAGTCCTATAAATTATGTAAAGTTTTTCCAATAGTTATTATTTCCCTTAAGTTAAATAACATGTTATGAGCCAAAACTCATTATGTAATATTATATAACATCATCTGAGGAAGCTATAGTACGAGTGGCAGAATCAGACTTGCCTGTGTTCTATTCCTGCTTTTACTTACTAGCCATGTAACTCTAGGCAACTCACTTAATGATTAGTACTCTTCTGTTAAATTGGGATATTAATGGATTCTCTCATAGGACAGATGTAAATACGAAGTTACAACACACATTAGCACTTAGCACAGGGCATGACAGTTTTCCTATGCGGTCGCATTTTTCAAAATAAATAACATATGTATTTTAAAAAAACAGTTTTATACATTAAAATCTATGATCAAACCTTTAGTAAGCAATACAAAGCATAATTAGGTAAAATTACTGTGTATTTTTTTCCTAATAATATGTTCCCTGAAGGTCCTTTAAGAAGACAGATTGTCTCCTATTGGAGGCTTATTAAAATGTTGAATGTTGTCAAAGACATGGTCTACTTTTCCCTATCTAAATTCTAATCGCTGAAATTTGGGACCATTTAGGCACCAGAACTTCAGAAATTAATGAGATGAAACCCAATAACAAAAAATTAAAGTCAAAGCCAGAGGAAAATACAATTTGATAATCTTACAAAAGTACCTTATGCAAGACACATTATATATGGAAATGATACTGTTGATATATGGCAAAAAGAAAATGTCCTACACACCATTCCAGTGACAGAGCTGTTGTCAAGAGCAAGAGAAAGATGTCTCATTTCATGACTTCGGAAAATGCATATATTTCCTTCATTGAAAACAACATCAAAGAGACCTGGAAAATATTTTAAATATTAGCAAGTAGTTCATACTTTTATAGATTTTTTTCTTATTCAATAATACACTGAAATGTCCTAATAGGACACTTTATGACATGTCTCAATTAAATGTTTCTAATTAGTTAAAAAATAGAATGCTAATACTTTATCTACATATTCCTTAGCGATTCGGCAGAATTTCCATGGAAAATCTCTAATGTCTTCCCATACTAATCAGTAACACCCTCAAATAACCCCCAAAAAATAATACATGACAAAACCGATCCCAGGAAAATAAATTATCTTAGTGTAAAAACCCACTTCTATTTTATACATCTCAGAGACTTGAGGAAAATAAAATAATGCATTAAAAAAGTAAATATATATGGTTTGGGCAATAATGACTGGTTTCTATGATTATGATTATTAAAATAATGTCATCATATTGTTCTTAGTTTTCAATATACTTTCACATAACTTTTCATCTTAAAATGTAAATTGGAGGACATGAATTTATGTCAAATTTGTGTACAGCTATATAACAGCAATTAGGACAGTGCCTTGAGCATAGTAGGTACTCAAGAAATATTTTTTAGATAAATTAATTAGATCTCCATAGCCTAGAAAATAGGTACTCCACACACACACACACACACACACACACACACAATTATCCCCATTTAACTGAGTAAGTGAGACTCAGTGAAGTAAGGGACTTTCCCAAGATCCCTGCCTACTCATAGAGTGGAAATAGAACCTAGGACTTCAGATCTTAGCTTAGTACCCTTTGCACTACCCAAAAATCATTCATTTAGTGCTTAAACAATGAACAAATTTTCAGGAGTCCATTCTTGTAACAACAGTAAATGAAGATAATTTTAACTTTTACAGATAGGTGATTATCAAACAATGATAAGTCAAACAAGCTAGATATAAAGGAATGCATATTGTATGTTTCATTTCATATAAAGCAGAAAACCAGCACTACTATAGGGTCTTAAGAGTCAAAGTAGTGGTTACATTCAGGGGAGAAGGACTGAAGTGGGCATGAAATTATTTCTGGAGTGCTGGTAATGTTCTATTTCATGATATGGGTTCTAGTTACATACATGCGCTATGTTCAGTTTGTGAACATTTATAATACAATGTGTGTAGTTTTTTTGCATACGTATAATATTGAAGGGATTCAGAGTATGTCATGTCAAAATATGTCTCTCTACCATAAGGATAATTTTGAGCAGAAGGAAACTAAGAAGAGTAGACACAGAATGAACCCTCTACTATCCTCCTATCTGCCTGAGCAAAACATGAATTTCTCTTATGAAGATATCTCCTGACACCACCTCCTGAGCAGGAAGCGGGTAACAATGTTATTACTGGAAACAACATGGCACTGAGAAAGATTCTACACAAACAAATATCACTAATCATAGCACTTAATTAACCAGCAGTTTCCACATATATTTCCCTAAATATTTTCTACCCTAGAGACTCAAAGACTTTCTCCTTTGTCTTGACAGTTCTCTAAAAAATTATTTTTCTTTGTTAATATGCCACATAAGCCCCAGGTTTTAACCACTACTTTGAGTTACTCATCACTAAGTTCTCTCCCAAATGTATGTGTAAAGCACATATTAATAAACTGTTTATTTTCCTCTTTTTAATCTGTCTTACATCAGTCTAATTCACAAGAGCCCAAGCCAGAGGGGTTTATCTAAAAAGGTAAAGACAGAGATTTTCTGTCCCTCCCCTGCAATATATTTGAATAAAATTATTTTAAAAATAGGTGATTCTTTGTGTTCAAATTTTACTTGCTGTCAACTCAGAAAAGAACTTTATGTACACAGGAAGTTATATGTGAAGTTCACAATAACCACAAATCAAAAACTTAAGAGTTAATACACAAAAGAAAAGGAGAAGGGAGACTAAACATTACACTGAAGAAAACCACCAAACCACAAGATAAGAAAGGAATAGAAGAAAGGAGCAATAGAGAAACTACAAAAACAGCCAGAAAACAATTAATAAAGTGGCAATAAGTACATACCTATCAATAATTACTTTAAACATAAATGGACTAAATTTTCCAATCAAAAGACAGAGTGGTTGAATAGATATAAAAAACAAGAACCATCTCTATGCTGCCTAGAAGAGACTTACTTGAGAAGAAAGGACACAAAACTGACTGAAAGTGAAGGGAAAGGAGAAAGATATCACATGCATGTGGAAATGAAAATAAATCTGGTGTAGCTATACTCACAGGAGACAAATTTTATAACAAAGACTATAATAATAGAAAAAGGCATTAATGATAAAGAAGTTGATCCAACAAGACATAACAGTTATAAATATATATGCACACAACATTGGAGCACTAATGTATATAAAGCAAATATTAATGGACCTACGGGAGAAACCGATACCAATACAATAATAATAGGAAACCTCAACATATGATTTACATCAATGGGTAGATCATCCAAACAGAAAATCAGTAAGGAAACACCAGCCTTACATAGCACATTAGACTAGATGGACATAATACACAGAAAATATTCCATCCAAAACAACAGAAAGCACATTTACCTCAAATGTACATTGAACATTCTCTAGGCTGTATCACATGTTAGGCCACAAGACAAATCTCAATAAATTCAAGAAGATAAAGCCACATCAAGAATCTTCTCCAACCACAAAGGCATGAGACTAGAAACCAATTATAAGAAGAAAACTGAAAAAAAAACCCACAAAAAAATGTGATGATTAAACAACAGGCTACTGAAGAACCAATGGGTGATCAAATAAATCAAAGAAATGAAAAATAACTATGGGTAAATGAAAACAAATACAACACACCAAAATCTTAAGGATGCAGCAAAATTGGTTCTAAGAGGGAAGATTATAGCAATATAGGTCTAAGTCAAGAAACAAGAAATATCTCAAATAAACAATATAACTTTGCCCTTACATGATCTATAAGAGGAAGAACAAATTAAATCCCTAAATCAGTGGAAGGGAGGAAATAATAAAGTTGAGAGAAGAAATAAAGTTTTAAAAGATAATAAAAAAGATCAAGGAAACTAAGAGCTAGTTCTTTGAAAATTTAAATGCAATTGACAAACCCTTGGCTAGACTAACCAAGGGAAGAAAGAGTATGGCTCTATTAAACAAAATTAGAAATGAAAGAGAAGTTGAAAGTGATTTACAGAAATAAAAGGATCATAAGACACAACTACAAACAATTATATGCCAAGAAATAGAACAACCTAGAAAAAATGGATAAATTCCTAGAAACATAATCTTCCAAGAGTAAATCAGGAAGAAATAGAAAATCTGAACTGATCAGTTACTAGTAAGGAGATTCAATCAGTAATTGAATCAGTAATAAAAAAAAAGCTCTCCACAAACAGTATAACCATACAGCTTCATTGCTGAAGTCTACCAACCTTTCAGGGAAGATGAATACCCATCTTTCTCAAATTCTTCCAAAAAATTGAATGCTTCCAAACTAATTTTGTGAAGCCAGCATTACCCTGATATCAAAACCCAACATGGACATCACACACACAAAAAAAAATTGTAGAACAATATTATTGATGATCACTGATGCAAAAATCCTCAACAAAATATCAGCAAACTGAATTCAACAGTAACTAATTAAATCATACACCATAATCAAGTGGGATATATTCCAGGAATGCAAGGATAGTACATCTACAAATCAACTATCATGATACACCACATTAATAAAATGAAGGATAAAAATCATACAATCATCTCAACAGATAAAGAAAAAGCATCTGACAAAACTTAACATCCATTTATGATAAAAACTCTCAACAAAGTGGGTATAGAGGGAACATACCTCAACACAGTAAAGGCCATATATGACAAGCCCACAACTAACACCATACTCAATAGTGAAAAGCTGAAAGCTTTTCCACTAAGGTCAGAAACAAGACAAGGACACCCACTCTAACCAGTTTTATTCAACATAGTACTAGAAGTCCTACCCTTAGCAGTTAGGCAAGAAAAATAAATAAAAGGTATTCAAATTTGAAAAGGAAAAGTAAAACTGTCACTCTTTACAGATGACATACTACACACAAAAAACCCTAACAACTCCACCAAAAATTGTTAGAACTAATAAATGCATTCATTAAAGCCACAGAATACAAAATCAACATACAAAAATCTGTGACATTTCTATACACTAATAATTATCAGAAAAATTAATTAAGGAAACAACTCCATTAATAGCTGCATATAAACCATGAAAGACATAGAAATAAATTTAACCAAAGGGTGGAATTGGATTAAAGATGGTTGCATGAGAGGTGAGACAGAGACCTCCTTCTAAAACCACATATAATACGAAAATTTAATTTAATACAACTAGTTCTAAAAGAGCAACAGGAAAGAAGGCTGCACCAGATGGCATATACATGGAGAAAAGAACAGACCTCACGGAACAGGGTGACATACCAAAACTGTGACCTGGTGGGGCCCAAGCCCTTCCCGCACCCCAGCTCACCTGCACAAGGAAGAGAAAGAGAGCAGGGAGGGAGTGGAGGCCTGGGACTGCTGAACACCTAGCCCTGGAGATCTGCTCTTGTAGCATGAATGTACATTGCATGGTGCTCTGGTGATTTAGTGTGGTTGGAAAGCTAAGACAGGCGGAATACCTGTAGAGACAGAGATCCCAGCTGCTTGTGGAAAACAGGGATTCATAGCCAACTGATCTTGGTGGGCAGTATGAGAGACTTCCTAAAAAGCGAAAGGGGTGATAAAGGGGCAAAGATTGCACAGAGCTTACTGCTCAGGAGAAAGGACAGGTAGACAAAATTGTCCAGATGCACTCCACCCAGCAGGTTGGAAGCTTAAATGATCTTCAGGTTCTCAATACCCCTGGTTGCCTATCCAGATCCAAGGTCCCCCACTGTGATATGAAGCCTGCTATGTCTTCCTCCTGGCTAGCCTGCACCTGACTCAGGCTTGCAAACCTGCAACTCTTCCC